AGGTAGCAGCGGCTCCGAGCCGTTGTGCAGGGAACCAGGGGTTAGGGAGAGAAAGAAGAATGAAAGAGAGGGAAAAGAGGAGAGAGAGTGGTCTAGGGGTAGTTTCTCTCTACCAAAGTTTTCTCTCTCCTCACCACTTGATCACACACTTGGAATCAAAAGCCCAAAAATAATAAGAAAATGCTCCAATTTTTTTAAGAAATGATCAAGCATTCTTCAATTTATCTCAACTTACTTCAACCTATTTACAAATGACTTAGGTTTCCTTATATAGAGCAACCACTAAACAAGGGTGAAACACTCAAAAAGTACCCAAATTGTGGAAAATTACAATTACATGGAATTAAAATGAAACCTCATTTTTTGACATAATAACCAAAATACCCCTTAGATCTTTTGAGCAAATGACAAAACCATACCTTCATGAGGGGCCTCTTGCCATGACTAGACTTCAAGAGCTTTTTTGAGACGATAATTCAGGCGATCAATCATCATAGAATCAATGCTTGATCTATCACGAATATTTTGACGCCATTTGATCGTCTTGAAACATAATTTTCATAAAGGATAAAATCCAGCCAAGTCCATAAACTTCGAATCTAGTGCGATTCACGATGTTCAGAGTCCTCATTTAGATCACAAATTAAAGAGCACACTATCATGATCGTTTTGAACTAAATTTCGTCCTATTTTAATTCCGATTGAGCATATTTGAGATTTGGGATGTCGTCGAGAAATGAGATTCCGGCAATTAGAAAACCTTGCCTTTTTCAACATCCAAATTTGCACCATTCGGTATCCAATTGTGAAGAAAAATTATACCAAATTGTTGCTGTAATAATCCTAAAATTTCAAAAAAAAAATAAAAAGAATAATAATAAATAAATAAAAATAAAAATATTTATTAAGAAATTAATAATAATCATAATATTAACGGTGTTAACAGAAATTAATACAAAATAAATAAATAAAATGATAATTATATATCAGTAATGATAATAATGATAATAATAATTTTATACCGTTAAGATATTGCTATTTTTTATATATATTAACAATATATAAAACGATATTATTATTAATCTACTTGAGGGTTTAATTTTATTTGGGTGAACTTTAGGTCCACCATCTCAAAGACTTTATGTTAAACTCCTTAAAACAACACCTTGCATTGAGGTGCCTTTTTTTTATTCGACATTCTCTCTCTCTTAATACTAAAACCCATCAATGGGTTTCTATTTCTCTCTCTTAAAACTAAAACCCATCAACGGGTTTCTCTCTTTCTCTCTTAAAGTTGAAACACCATCATCAACAGGCTTTTCTTTTTCCCTCTCAAACAAAAATCCCATCAACGGGTTTCTCTCTCTCTCTAGCATGGTTAGGGTTTATGTTTAAGTAATGATACTTACGTGCTTTCTTTCACTGAAAAAGATTCTTCATTCACATCGAGTCTCTGAAGAAAGTACTAATGTTTTTGTGTGGGATGGAACTGATGCTCCCCCAATTTCGGAGTATATAAGTGACATCATCTTCTTGAAAAATAGTCTGTTTTTAGTAAATAGTGATATTTCCGTCCAAGATCTTTATTTTATAAGCTTTGTGTGTAAGTGACCTCATTGTCTTGAAAAATAATCCTTTTTTTTTAAAGATAAAATGAAATAATTATTTCTACTTATTATCATGAATTTTAGGCGCGATAAATTTTATGCGCACGCGGCCTCATTATCTTGAAAAATAATTTTTTTAATAAAAATTGTGATATTTTATCTATGTTAGAAATTTTAAATGCTGTAAATTCTTGGAAAAATAAATTTATTTATTTTTCTTGTCTATTGTTAGAAAATTTTAGATACTGTAAAATTATTAGAAATAAATATGATATTTCTGCTTTTAGTAAAATTGTTGATATTTCTTTATGTTGTTTTTTGAATATTTAGATATT